TATCGTCAACCTATTCTCGGCTAACAGCAGGGCCTATAGCGAATCGGGAACTATCAACAAGCTGCTCTGCTTCGTCAACATGCAGTTGAGTCCTTGGCATTACTAACTCGATATCCTTGCAATAGTAGAGGTTTCGGAATAAAGAGAATTTGGCTCAAGTCGCCCTTGTTTTCGGAATTTGAAAAATTGCAAACATAGTTTGATCCAATCTTGCAGCTGAAACGCTCCTGGATTTGGGCGCGGGGTATACCTTGCATTTTATCATCACAATAGACTCTGCGCTGACCGGATTGTTTCTATGGAATTCCAAGCATACACCTGCGGTGGCGAAGTCTGTAGAACATTTCTCACCTAGTATCAGTACACCAACTGATGATGCTGGATGCCAGTGTTTGGGTTCGGGACCTTTCCAATAATGACTTCTCTACCTATATTCATAGTTAGAGTGTCAGCCTTGTTATATAGGCTGTCCAGGCATTTCTTGATCTTTGATGCATCGTGCAGCACCGACGGTGTTTGCAGCAAACATCTCGATCCGCTTAAGATCGAACCGAATAGACCGCCGTCTGAAATGACTGCTCTCGTCGTATACAAAACGGCCTCAAGTGAACTGGAATAGATCCTTTTCTGCATTGAAATTCCGTTAACTCTTGAACTTAGCAGAATCCTGCTGTAAATAGCCCCCCTGGAGGTGCCAGACGATCTGTTTACCTTTCAACCCAACGCTCTTTTGGTTGGAGAAAACCTGGCGATCGTCGAAGACGATATTTGAGTTATGTTCATACCTAGCATAATGTTAGCTTGCACGAATTAAGATTCCCTTTGAAACTGATCCTCTGACTTCTGTATCAGGATATATATGTTGTCACACCAGGGATGCAGGATTTTTCGCTACCAACAAATTGGATGAGACAGTCTAAAGATTTTGCGAGAAACATAAACAGTTAAGTTACATTCCAGCGATATTTAGTTGACTATCTCACGCACCTCTCAATCTCCAGATGATGTAACTATCGTATTTCCCAGGCGTTAATCCTTAGTTAACTAAACTAGTTAACTATTTAACCCTAACCTCAAATGAATAATAGAACTACTCACACTACGGAGTAGTTAAGTCAGTTAACATACTTTGAAGTAAATGTAAGGCCTTGTCAAGTTATGGTATGCTTACGCACCGTAATCAATTTTAGAACGAGTGTAAATTAGCCAAATTACGGTATAAGTATAAATCCTCCGAGCGAAGATACAGTGATATTCAAACTGGTAAATTCAGGCCAGATGGTTTTCGGAAGTTTGTCCCACAAGGGGTGGAAGTGAAATCAGCGAAGTATTTGTATGGTGAAGGAAGATCGTTAACTCTTGCTGTGAGTCAAGAGAAATCGAAACACACAAAGTCATGACCCTCGATTCAAACAGATTTTCGCTAAACGTACCTATCAAATTTCCGTTACCATGATAATAATGGGTCCAGTAAATTTGTTCATGGAAGCTCAACAATGACGATCAATGGGATGGGATCCCAACGCGGCATTCATCCATGTAGAGGTAACCCGAAGCGTTGGTTTGCAGAGCTGCTAATCTGTTCCAAACGAGTGGCAGCTGCAGACGCGAGAGCTAACAAAAGTGTGGTTTTTTTTTCCCTTTGACGAGACATCTGAATCTAATTAGGCTCCACCATACTTTACCTTATCATCACGATTATATGTCCGTTCCATAATTTGCTATATACCCCCGGTTAGGATTTGGTGAACGGGTTCGACGCCCGGCTAATCGTCTTGCTTCTAGCCGTGCTTTGCTTGAAACCTGAAGGAGAGCACGTAGCTTTACTTCAAATCAAAAAGGAAGACGAGCAAGGAAGTTGGGCTAATTCGGGCCCATGAGCGCTTCTGAGACAATCACAGCACCAGTCGCTAGCAGTCAGGCATTCATTCCTACATGGTTGGCCAAATTATATCATATTTTGTTGCTGGTTGCTTTCGCGCCACGACCTTGAAATCAGGGCGCCGGAAGTCCATGAGCTGATGACTGCTGAGAAGCCACACAAGACACAAGAACGTGAATGGATGAGCCCTATCCCCGTTTTTCCAAGCGCATGGCCACTAGTTACAGGCAGGTAACCTGAGAATCGAAGTGAAAATGTCAAACAGAAATGTGACCAATCTTTTCTGTTTCCTGAGAGCGCTCCGGAAGGGGTAGGGCGCCAGTCCTCACTATACTTCTTTAGGGGAGGCTCCAAGTATCGGCTATCTTGGCTGTCTTGGTCATGAGTACTATGCAAGGTCACCGGCGGCTCTACTGGCTCGCGGAACATGGAAGAAATGTCAAGCTGTTTTCTTGAAACGCTGAATCCGTTTAAAGCAGCCAAAAAAGCCATCTCCTGAAAATCGGCAGTTCCATTGTGGAGGCGTGGGATTCGACTCGGATCGGCTTACGCAGGAAGGCGTCAATTCGTTGACAATCATTTTCAGCCATTTCATTGCTTCGCCATATCAATTTTGCGTGTTCCTCACTTGTCACATGTCACTGTTGTCAGATTGCCCAAATTTTTTCAGATTGTCTTTTTGCCCTTCCCTCTTCTTCTTCTATGCGGGTCGCTTCAGGAAATATGACAGTCATGGGGTTCAACCAAGTATGCTAATAAAAATACCAGTAGAAAGGTAAACGGCGCCACCATTTCATTGGCTTGGCGATCATGATCGCATGAAAGCCATTGTCTGGCGGAGAGTTTGGAGGAGAGTTTGGAGGAAATGCTTGCCAAAAACTCAACAGGCGGGGCTTGACTACACCATGCGAGTAAGCGGAAGGCGTAGAGAAACTCGACAATTGGCTAACGATTGTTGTGGACGGATGATAGTTGATATGCACGCAAGAGTCTTTCTTCTTCCACAAGCAATAAATAACGAAGACAATGTGCTCGACACTCGGAGGGATGGTGAATGAAATGCGCTTGATGAATCTTGACGACTTACAAAGACGATGTGGAGACTCACCAGCATGTAGCCGTCATTTACTCGCACAAAATACTCTCAGCGGCCATATGATTGGACAAGGTTGCTCGTTTCGTTCGAGCTGCCGGTCGTTGCTGTTTTGATACGGACAGTATGGATTTTACATGCCCTTGCAAGTTGCAAATGTTCTCGGATGCTTCCAGGGCTGGATTAGCGGGCCGGACGACTAATGCAACTAAGATCATAGTATCCTGCCGAGCCAATTGCTGGCCGTTCTCCCAGGCAATGGTGCCATGAGAATTAATGGGCCGTGGCTTGACGGGGAATCTTAAATTCTTTAAGCGCTCAGCAGCCATTCCCACCCAAAAACCACGGCTCCAGAAGCAACGTGCCACGGTTTCTTCCCGTCCACGCCACCAGGGAGGGTGTCAAGGCCTGGTCCAGACAACAGATAAACGCGCTGCAAGCTCATATGTCAACGTTGGAAACGTAGGACAGCAGGTTTCAAAGGAGGGATGGGACATCTCTAGACACAGACCGGTCTTGAACACATAAAAATAATAGCTCGCAGCTGTGACGATGATCCGGCCCTGGCCCCGGCTCCAGCTCCAGCTCCAGCTCCAGCTCCAGCTCCAGCCCGCTGACCCGCTGACCTTCGCGGATGGGAGATTTCGCATGGCTGGGATGGACTCTGGCGGGGAGCCAAGGCAGGCCAGAGCCCACTTCGGCCTGATGCTTCCCCCATGCGCGGCTGACACTAACACCAAACCCGCCGGGACACAATGGCAAGCCGGTGCAATTGGCATTTCTTCGCTATCATCGCACAGGCTTCCTCCCAGTGACAACTCTCCTCCTGTCTCTCGCTCCAATTCACTGTGTCGTGGTTGAGACCCCGTGCTGCGTGAATGCTCTTGTGTTGCGCAATTCGCATTCTTCCGGCAAAACAGCCAGACGTTGTTCGCCTTTCTCTTGCCCATCTCCGCCGTAAATCTCCGTTGCGATCCAATCCAATACCAAACCCCCCGTGAGTTGGCTTTCTCTCCAGCAACAGTTCCTAACACAGCGTCCAGCCGGTTCCAATCAGCAATATAACGGCCATAGTCCATCACACATTTCGTCCGACGTTAAACGTTACTTGAACCCCGCAAAGAAAAAAAATTTTTTTAAAAAAAAAAAAAATCCTTGTTCTCAAACAAGTCCCTATCTCCCGTCGTTCTGGGTTCCCCTCTTGCGCTATTCAATTACCTGTGTAGAACGGACACATCATAACACTGAGCACAGGCATATGCTAGGCTCGGCCCAAGGCTGTCAACTACATAGTATTGTTTTCGGGTTCCCAAAGCCCGCTTGCTCTGCACAAGCCGTTTCCACCGGGGTATCGGAGGCGTGGGCGGAAGCCCATTGTCGTACCAAAGGCACTTGGTTACCCCACGAATAGATACACGCCATAGCTCTTGTGCCACTTGGATTCTGCCCTATTATCGTTTCCGATTTCTTCGGGAATTCTGTATCTGCTATCTTATTTCCAGTATGTGCTTCCTCCCTACTGTTCTCCCCTTAGCTACGGGCCCAAAATGGGACAGTATTTCGGTTCCCCATGCTCACGCGTGCGCTTAGGGTTTTTTACCTTATACCTGGCATACTTTGCATTCTAACTGAGCAGGGTCTGGATAGACTGTGCATCATAAGAGATCCAATCACTTGGTCGTAAGTATGAGCCATGTACAACTCTACCGGTGATGTCTTAGTCCTTTAGCTCCTTCTTTTCGTCACCCATTCCGCATCACCTATAGTGTTCATTCTAAGGGGATCTATGACTCCATAAAATCCGGAAACCGGCGATTCAGACTCTACACAGACTGCCTTCTCTACCGCCCATCTATTTGGGAGCGAGACGAGGTCGTGATTTCATTTCATTGTTTTACCGGCTAATCACTTTTTTCATAGGTAAGATTCGCGCTTTTCGCAACCAAATCATGGGTTGCGGAAGCTCCACCCCTGTCGACCCAGATGAGAGGGTAGCAGTGAGGCCAAACCGCTGCAATCGATAAGATGATCCGGATGGACAAAAAGGTTCAAGATCGGACAGTGAAGATTCTCCTTCTTGGTTCGTCAGACAAATCCGCTTTGCCACCCCGGTGATAGGTCTATTTATCTATACATCTATGCAATTTGTCGACAGAGTTGACATGTTTTGATATTTCTAACTTTAGGCGCTGGTGAATCCGGCAAGTCCACCATTATTAAGCAAATGCGAATTATCCACTCAGGCGGCTTCCCAGAAGACGAACGACGACAAAATCGGGCTGTCATTTACTCTAACATGGTGGTTGCGTTCAAAGTCCTGTTGGATATTATGAAAACGGAACAAATTGACTTCGAGAACGAAGAGACAAAGGCATGTGCTTCACCTTGAATTCAGCTGTTCGGATATCACAACTGTGGATGCTTGCTTACATAAAATGTCTTGTAGCCTCTCGCCGAGCTATTGAGTACTACAGATCCGGATGTAGATTCGGACGAGGCTTTCAGTGACCTCAGCATCAAGGGTGCTATGCAAAAATTGTGGCTAGATAAAGGTGTACAAAAAGCCGTTTCCCGAGGACACGAATTTGCACTCCATGATAATCTTCAATAGTAAGCACATTCGAGAACTTGGTCTTGGCAGATATCAAGAAAATGTATAAACCTAATGTTGCGATTTATTTCACAGCTATTTCAAATCTCTCGAGCGCGTGTTTGCCCCTGGGTGGCTACCCAACAACCAAGACATGCTCCATTCCCGACTCCGAACTACCGGTATCACAGAAACTTTATTTGAATTGGGCCAAATAAATTTCCGAATGATGGACGTTGGAGGTCAACGATCAGAACGGAAAAAGTGGATTCATTGCTTTGAAGGAGTGCAATGTCTTTTATTCATGGTTGCTATGTCAGGTTATGACCAATGCCTTGTTGAAGATCAGAATGCGGTACGCTCGAAAACCTCAGTGATCGTCTTAAACATCTTCGATGCGTGCATGAACTGACAGATTATATGTGTTGTGCGTGCAGAATCAAATGCACGAGGCGATGATGCTTTTCGAATCCTTGGTAAACGGCGAGTGGTTCAAACGGAAGCCGGTGATCCTGTTTCTCAACAAAATAGATCTCTTCAAGGAAAAGATCGCTATATCTCCAGTATCCAAACACTTCCCAGATTACCAAGGCCCGGAAGGCAGTTTTGAACCGGCCGTCAAATTCTTTGCACAACGCTTCCGCGGTATCACTCGAGTCCCCGAACGGGAAATCTACATCCACCAGACGAACGCAACGGACACCAACCTCCTAAAAGCCACAATGGACTCAGTGCAAGACATGATTATCCAGAAGAACCTTAACAACTTGATTCTGTAGGTGCAACACCAAATAAAAATAATCTGCGGCAGGCGTTTTCTACAGAGATACATCCTGTTTCGTTCCCCCACCGAAAATGAAATCTTACAAAATTACCCTTAAGTCCGATAAAACCCCCCTTTCTCATCCCTTCGATTTTCTCCCTTCAAGTCTGCTTTCTATTTGATTCTGCTTCGTGGCCAACGAAATGGATTCTGACTTTTTTTTTTCGGTTGGCTGTAGTCTTGGCAAAGGAGCCACTATCTAATGCCACATATTCATGTGTAAGCTCTAACAAATGTTTTTCTATTTTTCTTGTTTCCATCTCAACGGTTCATTTTTAGTTTGTATTTTCTACGACCAGCAGGGCCAGAAGCTTGTAGCTATATCCTTCGCACGCATGTACATCTTCTTTCCCCATTTTCGCTATGTTTTCGTTTTGCCCTTGCTTTTGTGTACTTTTTTTCTATTTTCGCTTCTTCTTCATACCCTTCTCTTCTCTTCTCTTCCTCCCGGTTTACTTGTCTGCCCTTGACCTTGCCCACTACACGCCTGTTACGCTTCAAGTTTGATCACCCAATATCCTTGATGAATAGGTTTTTGAGCGGATAACCTTTTCTTCTGCTTCATGCGTTCTTACGAACTTTTTTTCCCCTTCGTTCGCGGACCCTTAATGAGCATGAGATACCTGGGAAATGACCTGGCTATGGCCTTGAATTTCAGTCTTATATTAGGTTTCCCCTTTATTATTTTCCTTCTGCCTTAGAAAGATTTCTTCATGCTTTCCTGGTTTCCTTTTTTTTTCTTTTTTCTTTTTTTTTTTTTATGTTATGTTTTTTCCATTCCGTACTGTTCATATATAAGTATTCTTTCCGTTTACCCGTTGCTCCCTCTTTTTCACTTCTCTGCTCTATGCACAAATATTGTCCCTTCTCCTTCATTTGATTCACAGATAACCCCTGTCGACCATCCTGCATCAACAAGGATAGAAATTCGGATATGTTGATGATCATGCGGGTCTTTAAATCAAACAGCAAACCACACCAAACACGTGCCGGATACAGTTCTCAGATTTGAGATTCAGTCCTCGAGAGCAAGAAGCATGGCATGTTGGTTTTTCACATTTTCGGAGCAAAGGGATTACTGGAGGGCGATTCCCATTGCGCGCGAGCCGGGCAACCCATGCTAAACGAAGGGAAAACACTACGTTAGGATTTTGTCTTTCAGCATTGAAGCGTTCGCTCACCCCACCTTGCATCTCCTGGTTATATTCTCAAATTACTTCTATACTGTGTATGTATATAGATAGCCAAGGGCCTTAAAGAGAATGAGACTCCGAAATGGCTCCGAATGATTGCGAATTCAAATAAGAGCAAGAACCTCAATGAAATGGCTGGACGATGTGACAAAAATGTTCTCATTTTCACTGTTGAATGGGGGAGAGTAGCCGGATCCCCCCTCAGTACGGGCTGTAGATATGGGGGATTCCCGCTTCAGTATGTATATCCACTACTTGTTCTCGTTGTCCCCTCCCAATTCTATTCGTACATGGACAATACCAGTACCTCTCTATATGCACCCAAGTTTGGCAGCGGATATAATCACGTGGGGTTTGATGATGTTAGTGGTACTACGGCTACCCTATCACGTGCCCCCCAACATATTGTGTTGCTCTCGCGTAGTTAGTTTTAGTAATGACAACAACGTTAACGTAATCAATAACCTTCCCGATCAAATACCCTTCCCGATCACTTCTTCACTCTTTTTCATTGTTTATAACTAAATAGAACAACAATCACATAAGAAAAATAGATTAATCATATTAAGAATCATTTACAAATCAGCTTTCACACGTACGAGCAGTATGTCCAATAGTACCACATGTACTGCACCGTGGTGCTGCTCGTTTTCGTGGTTGAGAGTCAGAAACCTCAACCTTCTCATTTTCCTGTTCATTGACACTTCGTACGCGATCTATTCCTTCTTCAACTCTTAAAACCCCTTCCTGAGCTATATATGTACGACCTTTCCCTCGTTTTCTCTTTTGCTTCTCATTTGCAGCTCTTAGTTCCTTGTTTTCCTTTGCTAAAATAGCAGCACTACACATAGCCATTTGACACCCCTTGATCAGCTGATTCATAGCTCGATTGGTTGGACTGGATGAACCCTGTGTACGATGTTGCATGTATCCTTTAATCTTCTTGGCCTGGAGATCCACTTGTCGTACATTGTGTGGTGTGGCTGTGGCCCAGGAGGCTTGAGAACTATGAGAAGTTCCTGGGGGGGTGGGTGTATGCATCTGGGTATTAAGGCGTGAGAGAACCTGCTCTGGATCGTACGGAACTAACCCTGTAGCTTTAAAACCACTTTTGATGTTGTTCTCATTCAGGGCTTCCATATGAGCTGCTGGATAGAGAGTCAAAAACTCTTCCTTATCAATGTGATTGATGCCAAGCTGCATTTGCTTCTCCACCTGTCGTCTGTATGCCTTCTTTAGAGGAGAGAAACAGCTAACATCCAAGGGCTGAAGAAGATGAGATGAATGAGATGGCATGTAGAGAGCAATGATGTCATTCTCAGAGCAGAATTGATCAAACTCTGCTGAAGCATGACTTCCATGTCCATCAAGGATCAAGAGTCGATATTTGCCCTTCGTACGAGATCGAGTGTCCTTGTCAAATATCTCCTTAAGCCAGATCAACCCCAGCTTATCATTTGTCCATCCATTCTCACTGACTCCAATCACCCAGTCATGTGGCAGCTTCTCAGTCTCATACCAATGGGATTGGTGCATCTTTCCCTTTAGAATAATCATCGTACGTAAAGCCCAACCAGTTGCATTAACTCCTGCAATAACAGTGGCCCATTCCCGATCTCCAGGCTGTATAAGATTCGGACGATCAACTCTCTCAGATCCAGTAATTACTCTGGCTGTCCCAATAACTCCCATCTGAAATCCAGTCTCATCAAAGTTGTATGTATCTTCCTGTGCAATCCCATACTTTGCAATGGTGTTTCGTACGAGATTAAACCATCCACGAATAATCTCAGGATTCTCACATAGAGCTCGCTGGTGATCATACTTTCGAGAGAATGTTGATTTTAACTCCTCATGACGATTAACAAAGTTTCGTACCCAGCATTCACCCACTGTTGGAGGGGGTTTGGATTCAGACTTGATTTCTCGTTCAGAAAGAAGCAAATTGGCCATATTTCGTACGGTTGTGATGCGGGGTGACTGGCCTCGCTCAGTCATGGATAGAATCCACTGAATAAGAGATGCTTCCTCTGTAAGACTGAGTTTTCGGTTTTTTAACTGAGAATCTTTTCGTGTTGTGCGGCCGTGTAATCGATCATATAAACTTGAATAAGGAACTTCGTACGCGCGTGCAGCAGCTCGAATACCTGAGATTTGACCTTTATCTAGAGCCTTAATAGCTAATAGAATCCTGCCTTCTTGATAGAAGTTTCTTCTGTCACTTGTTGTTGACATTTTGATGAATAAATTGTATGATGTGTCTTAAAGTGAAGAAGTGATCGGGAAGGGTATTTGATCGGGAAGGTTATTGATTACGTTATCCTCCCACAGATGATATAATCACTGGTGATTGCGCTTGTCCGAATTAGGAATAAAACTCTAAACGGGGTTTGGACTGAAATGTTGAAGACACAACAATGCTGCAATTCTCTGATGTTCCTCCCCTTCCTCCCCCTTCCCACCGACTGTGCACTCGCACAAGAGTTCTCCGTTGCTGAATTCGTGCGGCTGCATTCCGCATTCCACGGTACCAACCATGTTCCCCTCCTCAGCTCGTTTCCTTGCTCGCTCGAGCCCAGTCGTCACGCTCCCACCTCCCGCTCGTCCCTCAGCCGCCGTAGGTCGCCTGTCAAGATCCAGTAGCCACCAACGTCGATACTCATCTTCTAAACCTCCCGTTCCCCCAAGTGACGGCTCCCGGGGCATTGATACCTCGTCGCAGTCTCCCACTAAGAGCGTGAGCCCGTCGAACAAAGAAGGTGCCGAGAAGCGGGAGGGGAAACCGGCGAAACGACGAGGTGGCAAAGATAGCAGCAATGTCTCTACTAAATCAAAAAACAATGAGCCCTTTCTAAACCTTCCCAGTGTTCCTTCTACACAGCATCTTCACCCTCATGGTAAGTTTTGACTCATTTCCGCGAGCAACATCTTTTTACCGCCCTCCAAAGTCGTGTCACGTGGTTTGGCTTTTTGGAGCGCATGACATGACTCTTTTTCTAATAATAATACCTTGCTGTAGATATCCATGTAGCATCCTTCTTCTCGACGCATCGACCGATATCCGTCACAACGTCTGTGCCATCAAATTCTAACCCAGATGCTTTTGATGCCATTTTTTCTTCGAAGAAATCATCCAAACCCCGGCCAAACGACGTCATATATACCCTCTCCTCAGTAGTCAACTCTATCGAGGGGGTATTACCCAACACCCAATCTAATCACCCTGTAGGGAACAACAATTTAGGAAATGCTATCTCTCAGGGATCTGCCAAAACTGTGGACTCTGATCACTTCAGCAGCCCCGATGACCTCCCAATGGACGACCTCCGCATTTCCATCCAGGATTTCGCAAAGAAGCTCCGACCATTCAACCCCCCGCCACCGCCAGTCCCTATGGAAAGTTTCGGAGAACAAGATGCCACCCTAGAAGCTGAAACCACCGAAGCCGCTGAATCTGAACTTCAAGAAGATGTGAAGGAACAAAGCTACTCCACCCTCCTTACCATCACCGAATCCACTCACGGCGACGGCCGCAAGACCTACGAAGCTCACAGCTCACCGCTCGTCCGCATTGATAACAAAGACGCCCCTTCATCCTCTGTTTTCGAAGGTGAAAAAGTGATACAAGACCAGGGAGGCTTATTTTCAATATCAGAGCCGGAGATGAGCCGCCATCGACAGCAGCATCGCGTGCCGCATTCAATGGGCCGGAAAGTCTACTCCGCCATCAGCGTCAAGAGACAGCGTAAATTGAAAATGAAGAAGCATAAACATAAAAAACTGATGCGGAGAACGAGGACGCTGAGACGGAAATTAGATAAAGCATAATAGCATGTTTGTGTTGCTGTTGTTATTATTATTGTTCTGACAATAATCCATTTTCTTTTGCCCCGGTCTTGTTTTTCCTTAACAGAGATGTTCCAGTTTGAACTTTGGCCTGTTTTATCTGGGCTTCTCTTTGTTTTTTTCTCCTCAATTTTCGCCGCCAAACTCATCTCCCACTTCCCTTTATCACCTGCATCATGTTGCTTCTCCTTTTCCGTCGTCCGTGGTTGTGGCGTAGCATATAATTATGTTTTCAATATTGTTTTTCCGGCAACTGTGCGCACTTGGCTGTGATATATGTATACATATACAATCTGTTGTTCCAGTTTAAAGCATAACTCTGGTTGAATTAAATACAAATCAATCTGTTGGTGTTCTCCAGCCCCTTCTCTGGCGTGTTCCAGTTTGATCCAGCCCGTGATGCTAATGGTCACATGCAATGACTCGAGCTACGCCCAACATATGATCTACCAGTATATGACTAGCATCTACTCTAGCCTATATAGATCGCCATGCAGCGGCGAGGATCCTCGCTGCTTTTTTGGGAGGAGGTCCTTACGACTCTACGACGATAGAGCTATATCAAGATATACGAGGTTATATATCGGAAGGAATTCGAATAGGAAAATAAGATATTAAATTTAAGGCAGTAGAACGTATGGGTAGAAGCTTGAAGCCGTCCATAAGATGGCTGGTTTTCTGTTAGCCGTGCTCAACATCTATGCTTAGAAGTGAGAATCTATCACTATATGTGAAATCAAAATAATTCTCTGGTGATTTCTTTTTAAACAATCAATGACATCTAATAAAGTCAGTTAAAAAGACTAGATATAAAAGGATAACAGTATGGTATACACAATAATGGCTGTCTCTTTTGTAAAGAAGTAGATTATATTTTTTAAGAATTATTCTAGGATAAAGAAATGAAATAAGATCACTGAATCTCCGAGTTTGTTGTAGTGCTTCTGCAGATGCACTGGGTTACAATCTCCCTGGCTATTATTGACATTTAAAAGAGTGGGTAAATTGAACATTCTTTCTTCATTGGTTTCTATATCAGCTTATCTTGACATATTGATTTTTTGCACACAGCTGTATAAGCAGCTTCTCTCATTTGCTATTC